TTTGGTTTGGTGGTAAGGCACTGCCAGTGTGCTTGGTTTGGTAGGTAAGCATTGCCAGTGTGTTGGTTTGGTAGGTAAGCATTGCCAGTGTGTTGGTTTGGTAGGTAAGTATTGCCAATGTGTTTGGTTTGCCAGGTAAGCATTACCAGTGTGTTTGGTTTGGTAGGTAAGCATTGCCAGTTTGCTCGGTTTGGTAGGTAAGCATTGCCAGTGTGTTTGGTTTGGTAGGTAAGATCTGCCAGTGTGTTTGCTTTGGTAGGTAAGCACTGGCAATGTGTTTGGTTTGGTAGGTAAGCATTGCCAGTGTGTTTTCTTTGGTAGGTAAGCATTGTTAGTGTTTGGTATTGGTAGGTCTCGAAGGCATATGCCCCTACGTTTCACTGCGCTTGTATCACCCGAATGCACAAAGTACCTTTTTATCTTCATCAGTATATGTATGTATTCATATACCAACCCACATCTGCACCCGCACTGCACGTACCTTTTTGTATTTGGTATGAGTCTGTATCACAACACCTCACCTTTACCACCATCCATACCCATCATTACACCTACCCATATGTATACCTATCACATACCTACCCATATATATATACCTACACTACACTCACGCAGGCGTGCTTGGGATGGGTCTGCATCGCAAAGGGGCGGTGTCCATCACACACGGGACTAGTATAGGTGAATCAGCGAAGCAACCCTCCAGTGAGGAAGGCAGCTATACCAGTGACCTCAGCCTTACCTTTGCCTCCTGTATGTACCTGTATGCGTGGTTGTGTGTATATGGATACATATGTCATATATGTAAATGTATGTAGTTGTGCACCTATGTGTGTGTGTAAAAGTATACATACATCACTGTCATTCACGTTTACATGTATGTAACTGTATGTCTATGTGTATTAGTATGGCAGACCTGAGTATATGTGGGGTAAATGAATGTATGTCAGAAAAACAAACAGAAATTTGGAAATATTAAGTATACAGTGATATATATATATATATATATGTGTGTGTGTGTGTGTGTATTTATGTACGTATGTTAATAAATAAACATGTATACAGCGGATGTAAATATCACGTACATACAAACACCTAAGTTGTTCTACTATCTCATAACTCACCTACATTCATTTGCACCATCTCATAACACACCTACATTCGTTTGTACTATCTCGTACACACACGGCAAATGGCTATCGCTGGTTATACGCAGGTTTTATGACCAGTAAGAAATCTCTGAGGAATTTCGATAGGCCCTGTGCGTTTTTCATCCCTTCCAAATCAAAGGTAACAGTCCGTTTTATAGCAAGTTCACATCTGTGGTCGTATATACTCGAGGTCTGTGTTTTGTAT